TTTCTTTCTGACAGTTCTCAATGAATACAAAGCATTTAAAAGCACAGATTGTAATCTTGAGCTTCTCAATCTTCAATACAAGACTCCCCTGTCACTATCAATCCATCTGAGCTGACATGTAGACTGCTTGATAGCTCTGTTTTCACCTTTGCTTCCTTGCACAAACAGCTTCCTAAACAACACGTGGGAGTCCCCTAGACTTTGTAGCAGCCAAATACGGCCAGAGACCAGCTCATCTATTTATCCCAACAGCACCTTTTAAATATTACAATTTTCTGTATGTGCTGCAAAGTATAGCATGTTGAAACATTTTACTTTAGATAGTTGTCTTCAAGTTGTGTGGACTTTAATTAGTGGGCAGAAATATTTCAGACCTCAGTAGTTGTAGGATTAGTGAAGAAAGAGTATTTGTATTAATTTCCATCTTCTGAGAGAAAGAAAACAAGTGCTGAGGAAATTAATTTATTTACCCACCCAAAAAAGTTCTTTGATAGTAATTTTTGGTTTTATCCCAGGGTTCAAACTTACAATTAGAGTTTCTTACTAGTAGACTGAATAAATCCAGAGAGCAAAGATGAAACAAGGGATGCCCTAAATAAATGTAGAAGATGACACAGGTATACTGTTTAATAGCCTTATAGATTTTTTTCTCCCTTGAAATTTTTGTTTTATTAATTATACTAAATAGCTTACATTTCCATAATATTTTAACTGTATATGGATATCTGATTTATATTTTCTCATTTAATACTAATTTAAGAGCTCCATTAGATAGTAAATGATAATTGTTTGCATATTTGTGATGAGGGTAATTCATACCAAGAAATGTTAAACATTAAAAGTGTTAAAGTTACAATGTTAACAATATCAACTCTTGAGAGTAATCATCAGCAGGGAGAACTGTATTAAGGACACAGTAAAATTGAGTTGGAATTGATAGTCTATTTTCAGAATAAGTGTGTAATTATCTTTTCATAAATTTACATTTTATAAGTAACAAAATTTATGTGATGTTAGTTCAACGTAACTCTTCTAACTAATATTTTGATTCCTTAGCTTAATTAATTGTTTCCCAAAGTAGGTAATACTGCCCCTTAAGGAAGGGGCACTGGCACAATCCAGAGGGGTCTGCAAAAGCAAATACCTACACCTTATCCTAGATTATGGGCTACAGCACTAAAGTTTTTAATTGCCAGAGGGACTGACTAATTTTGTTTTTCTGAATAAGGTGTGGTAGACCAGATAAGTTTGGGAACCTTTAGTTTAATTGAAGCTATTATATTTTGACTCCTTAAGTGAATTGATCCAAAGATAAAGTCGTGTTTATTATGATTATCTTAATATTTTAAATAATTAAAGATTTACATCATACTTATGCCATGTATTTCTTTTCCCAAAGAGTTATTAACTTAGAAAAAGATAAGAACAGTCATTTCTACAACCAAAAAAATGTCTTCAGAATTGAGCATAGTATGCTTGAGGAATTGGAAAATAAATTGATTATCAACAGGAAAACAGAAAGTAAGTTGAGTGCACGCTGAACTAAAATCTATTAAGTGATATAAAGTCTTGCTTTTGTGCTTTGTCATTGTATGTTGACTGTGTTACAATCTCTATTAAGATACTCTCAGGGTGATGATCCCTTCAGGGCCAGTGATAAGAGTGTCGGTACCAGGAGGGCAG